TGATATAAAAGGGGTTTTTGCAACAGGGCGAGCTTACCAGGGGGCCCTTTTCAAACCGGGTCTAAATGGTCGCCGGCCCTTACGTAGACGTGTCTCAGTGATTTTTGGTTTCCGACTCATTGCCAGAAATCTGAGATTTGTGGTGAAAATTAACAGTGAAGGGAAGAGCTTGCACGGCAGCAAGACCAGTGGAGAAAGCATTGAGTCAGATTCTGTTGGAGTCAAGACCAACCTGGACGATCGGCCATCTTACGAGGGAGGCGTGTGTGAGACGCCCCGTGAAGTTGAGACAACAGAAGGAAAGACGTGGCTTGGAAAAGGAACCCCAGACAAGTTTTCATTTTTTTTCAGGAATCCCGGAAATGATTGAGAATCATCTAATTGTTTCTTGGTTGCAGGGATAAGCTGCACCTGGTCCGGCAGGAAGGCATCTCGGCCCTGGAGAGACTGAGCAACGACATGGAACTCATCATTCTCTTGAGGTACAGGAAAGATTTTTGTTTTGGTGACATCGTTGTAATTTGCGGTTCAGTCACGCAAAACCTTCAGTGACGCCTCTTAGTCATTTTTTACTCCAATTCTAAGAAAATCGGACAAACCGTTCTCGCACTATGTCCGTTTGCTCTGAGACAATTAGGCCAAAGTGTGTTTACGTTTTCGCATTGACCGCGCGCTGTGATCGAGCCGACATGCGTAAGAGTGTGAACGTTGAGTGACCGCAACGAAACCATTCTCTGTTGGATTGCACGGAAACTTCATGAAATGTTGACACTATTGCCATGCTTGCATCTCCAATGCTTGCTCTACATCGATGGTTCACTGGCACAAAGCGACCTTCAGTTAGTGCCGACTTGAAGCTCCCCTGAACTGACAAAAGAATGAAATGGGCCCGAAGAAATACTTTCAATGTCACGCGCGACGTACACCTGAGATTATTATTATTATTATTATTAAATTCAATATATATAGCACTCATTTCATAAAAAATGTTCAGGAGCGCTTAACAATATTTTTAAAAATACCTATTAAAACACCTGTTTACAAAGACCCAAAATAATTTAAATAAACACAATTTAACATTGATTAAAAGTTTAAACCAAACATGGTGGGACTTCCACACATGGCCAGCACCAACTCTCCCTCCAACGGCCCATCGTGCGTCCAAGACTCAAGAGATTGTACATTTCAAATACAGTTGGTCACATTTGGTGCTCAGTGCATCCTGTGCCCAGTGCGTTAGAATCTGTTTTCCCCTTCAAATTGATGGCATTCCTTCAAATTCTGTTCCTGCATGGAGCGGATGTAAGTTTACCATTCACGTTGTGTCTTTTGGCCAATCAGTCTGTTTGAGGATGACGTCATGAGCTACACGCCCACAGTGCTGCAGACCTCGTCGGGGCATCACCGCTCGTCCCTAGCTAACATCTCACCGCACAACACCCCCCAGCCATCGCCTCACTCCTCACCAGGTAAGGGACAGGAAGAGACCTCAAATTGTCATTGGTGCCATACGATGTAGGATGCGAAGCTTGATGCCTTTCAGGCACAGGGTCCATCTAACCATGAGTCAATCTAATGGAACGGCTCAGCAGAAAACACTGCCAAGTCAAAAATCAGCTGGGCGCCAGTCATGCAAGTAATACACAGTGTATGAAATTTGGCTGGTAACCTGTTTCTGCCAAGCAAGATTTTACTTGACTTGGTAAACTTCTTCATTTGCAAGCTTTGCAAAGTTAGCCCATGTTTTTCATTTGAATGTGCACAAATCTTGAACATCACAGGAAAGAGCACCGTATCTAAGCATTAGCATATGACGAAAATGGTGCTCAGACCCCTGGTTACTGTACACGTATGTAACCTTGAGGGTGGAAATATGCACAGACGCCAATAGGATATTTGCGTCACCTATGATCTGTCCGTCAAATAAACAATCTTCCCACAGAAATCCTACTTTAGCTCTGCTGCTATTTCAAGTCACCGCCATCTATAGATTGGATGCGAGAATATCACGACGCCCATGTAATGATCAGTAACAAGTGGCCTCCTTATCATGAGGTTTTTGCCCTTTATCTGTCCTCATTTCTACAGTAGTGAGCCGTGCCAATGCCAGAGCCCCAGCCCCGTATCGCAGAGACTTTGATGCCAAGCTACGAGGCTTCTACCGGAAGATGGAGGCCAAGGGATATGGTCAAGGGCCCACCAAGTTGAAGTAAGTTTACTCCAAATCGTAAAAAAAAGGATTGCCTTATGTTATCTGGTTGTGTTTGCTTTCGTATTACTTGTCTGAATCCAAGAATAGGTTTGGGGAAATCAAAAGACTACAGTTTTGTAATCTAAGAGTGATGTTTGGGCAGTCTAAAAATACTCTTTGAGGATCTAAGAATGAGGTTTTTGGAATCTGAAAATGAAGTTAATAGGGAATCTGAGAATAAGGTTCGGGTAATCTCGGAATGGATTTTTGGGAAACACAGAGTGATGCTTTAGGAATCTGGGAACAAGGTTTGGGGGATTTGAAGATTGAGGTTCTGGGAATCTGAGATTCATGGTTGGGCTATCTGAGATTAAGGTTGTAGAATCTATAAAATGTTGTTGGCAGATCATAAAATAGGTTTTGCAGATGACAGACACCATGAGAGCATCCTTCTAACCTTGGGCGAAGTGTGAGATTTTTTTCTGAAATTGGGCTGAAAAAGTTCTGAAATTCACAGTGTCATAATGTATGTCCTCTCAATTTGCATAGGCTTACGATCAGAAGAGACCATCTCCTGGAAGATGCCTTTGGGAAGATCATGGCCATCAGCAGGAAGGACATCCAGAAATGCAAGCTTTTCATCTGCTTCCCCGGGGAAGAAGGGTGAGGACTAGGCGTCCCGTATGGATTGTATGGCCATGTCCGAATCACTTGGCTACGGCCGGTATTTACACAGAGTTAATGGGAACTGGCTGCAACCGCTGCCATAGATTCATTAGCAATTTCCAGTAGCAGCCAAGTGATTCAGATATGGCTTCTGCACCATTTCACTAGATGTCGATGTTGAGGGTACGTCCAGAAGTTGTCGCTGTGGCTGCATATAACATATGGACCTAGGGAAGCCATTGAACTAGCGGCTATGGCATGTTGACATGGAATCAAGTGTTATTCACAGCCGCTGCTAGCTGATTAGAACAGGGCCTAAGTTTGTATCTAGAAGTTGTTGCTGTGGCTAGAAATAACGGATGCAGCCATGGGAAGCCAATAACTTGTGGCTTTGGCCACCTCCCATAGCCTTGTGCATTTTTCAAAGCCATAGCCAGTTGATATGGACCTTACTTTGGATTATTAGGTCTCTGTGATGCAATAAAGGCGCAAGAGAGAACATACTTGGTCCCAGATTTTTTTGGAGAACTTTGAGATTTGAAATCAGAGTGAGTTTAGCAAGATGTAGGATGCAAGGCACAGGAGGGCGTGAGCAGCCAAAGTAGAATAAAATCAAGGCAGTGATGCCAATTATTTCAGAAAAATAAGAGCCCAAATCTGGTGCCTTTTGCAGGTTGGATTATGGCGGCCCGTCCCGGGAGTTCTTCTTCCTGTTATCCCGAGAGCTCTTCAATCCTTACTACGGCCTCTTTGAATACTCCGCTATTGATACCTACACCGTCCAGATCAGTCCCATGTCTGCCTTTGTGGACAACTACTTGGAGTGGTAAGTGCTCATCGGATACGCGCCAGCATTGCTCAGTTGAAAGCGTTTCTTAGTAGAAGTTCATTGTCGGATCGAGACATGCGAGGGTTGTAAGGGTCATTTCCAAGTGAAAGTTTACCCCTGTTTTTTGTTTCCCGCATTTCTTCCATCTGTGCGCCCCCCCCGACTCAGAGCCCCCCAACCCCACCCCTCCTTGGCAAAGAAGAGACAAGCTGGCAAGAATCATTTCACTGGGACACTGAAGGTCACGGGAAGACCGCACATTCCAACCAAAAATTGGTGGCGCTTGCTGCGCGTATTTCGCGTCAGATGTACGTGCACCTGCATACGTGCACGTGGTGTTCTCTCAACCCAGAGAGGTGCGTTCCTCGAGGGAAAACACACACCATGTCTCGCTCCTGCTGGGAGTGGATACGGAAACCCAAACTGTAGGCCGGGCTACTCTGGAAACCTTGCCGTCCAGCAGTTCTTGAAGCGACTTATCGTTTTGTTTCCTTTGCGGTGTCAGGTTCCGTTTCTGCGGCCGCGTGATCGGCCTGGCCATCCTCCATCACTTCCTCCTGGACGCCTTCTTCACCCGCCCCTTCTACAAGGCCCTGCTGCGGTCGTCCAGTCACCTGTCGGACCTGGAGTCCCTGGACCAGGAGTTCTACCAGAGCCTGCTCTGGATGAAGGAGAACGACATCACCGACGTGCTGGACTTGACGTTCACGGTCGACGAGGAGACCTTTGGCCAGGTATTAAAAAATGCCCTTACCCCCAACCCTAACCTTGCTGGACCCAACAATATCGAATAGTGGGTTCTTCCTGTGGGAATCTGTTGATATGAGCAGTGAAGTAAAGGCCTTTTGTCCAAACTGTTGGATTCAGCAGGCTTCACACTTCTCTGTTGTATTCCATTAGATTCAGACGGGTTCCTAGAGAAAATCTGAAGGTTGTTAGGGCTAAGTCACTCATTACGGCACCTGCTGCTAAGCTTGCAAATTGACTGATTGTTTTGCAGTGGATTATAATCGTGCCCATTTTGAGCACTGTTTCAGTTAATCACATTGACCATTTTTTTGTGTGCTAATTCTCGATGTCAAATTAAACCAACAATTAAGAGGGAGTTAAGTTTGGAAAGATTGACTGGGAGATCCTGCGTGCTACAGGGCAGGAACTGAAAGGAGGCAACTACGTCGATAACCCATTCTTTAAAAAGAAAATGAAAGTGAGACATGGAACCCAAAATAGTCTGGCACCGTCCCATTTGACAGACTACGTTGAATACGATAGACTCGGGGAACAGGATCAAAAATGGCTTCCTGGTGAGTAAGGTCTGTTGATTTCTCGTTCTGCTTCAGTTGGTGGAGCGGGAACTGAAGCCCAACGGCAAGAATATCCCGGTGACGGAGAAGAACAAGAAGGAGTACATCGACAGGATGGTGAAGTGGCGGATAGAGCGAGGGGTGTCGGAGCAGACCGAGAGCCTCGTTAGAGGCTTCTATGAGGTGAGCAGGAGCTGGTGTCAGCAGGCTTGCCAACCATCTCGAGCCGCAGTAACCAGACTGAATCCCCTTTGCTGGATGTTTTTCTAGATTTTCTTTCTAACTCTCGGCCTTGCTCGCATATGACCTATTTTTTGTTCAGCAAAAATGGACGTACCTAGCAAATTTCCATGTTCGTTATCTTTTGAAATGGGTTTTGCCAATTACAGATGCCAGACTTTGACACTTGATTCTCGCGGAAAGTACATCTACGTGAATAGAACTGTCAAAAGCTTTTTTTTTTGAGTAGCCAAGAAGGCACCTTGTGATTGACACCCGTGAAGAGGCTGAGGTCGATGCACTGACCGTATCATGTTTTACCCCGGATTGAGCCGGGGCCTGTGAGCTTGATGATGTGGAACCTTGCACTTCTCATTTTTGTTTCCTGTTTTTTACAGGTTGTAGACACCAGGTTGATTTCCGTCTTTGACGCCAGAGAGCTAGAGCTTGTCATAGCCGGCACGGCAGAAATTGACGTCCATGACTGGCGGAAACACACGGAATACAGAGGAGGTGATAATTGTATCTACATTTCCTAACAATGGAATCCTCACGGCTGGTACTCAGTGACTGTTCCTTTGACACAGCAAGGGACCAGTGAAAAACTTGAAATGCGATCCTTGCATCCAAAACTGGCAATGCAGTCTGCTAAGTGCCAAAGATGTCCTCGCAACCCCTTAAACCTCAATAACTCTGTGGCATCGCGGATGACATCAGTCGTTTTCTTGTGGTGTGAAATATGTTTCGAGACGAAAGAAATGCCGTGATTATTTCAAAAGTTTGCTGCCGTGGACAGTCAAGGCAATAGAGTTTAACTGAATGTAACACTGATGCCTGTCATACCTCAATGTTAAGAGTGACTGGGCAGGATTTGAGTGTGTGAATTTTGGAACGTGGGGAACTCCAGTGTTGGTGTTACGGAGGTAGCAAGTTTTGACACCACATCTAGTCAGTTGCTTCGTCTTACTTGGATTGAACCTGATAATGGGCAGCACCTCTTGACAATCCAATCAGGAAGGTGAGAACAGTCCACAGTTTATTCAGCATCTATATTTCTGTTTCTTTTTTTCCTTTCCAGGTTATCAAGATAAGCACCATGTCATTAACTGGTTCTGGACGGCCGTGGAGTGCTTCGACAACGAGCGACGCTTGCGACTGCTGCAGTTTGTCACCGGCACGTCCAGCATTCCCTATGAAGGGTTCGCGGCGCTGCGTGGCAGCAACGGCCCGCGGAAGTTCTGCATCGAGAAGTGGGGAAAAGTCACTAGCCTTCCCAGGTAGGGGCTGCACTTTGATCTATGCTAAGCACTTAGTGCCAAAGCTGTGTGCACAACAGGAACAGGGTACCAACCAAAGTGCCATGCAAAGAGTATTATTTGAGGCTGGTTCTCTGTTCGTTTTTGCTGAGCACAGAAGTTTACCAAGTGGTGTTTCCTCCTCGGCAGCTCATTTGCTTTCGGGGTTAATTTGAAGATGACGTAAAACCAGGGGATTTTCAAGATTTTCTGTGTTCAAAATTCTTTAAAAAATCATAACTTGATTTTCTGGAGGTTTACACCCACATGAATGACTGTCTTGTGGCTACTCTGATCTGACAGACAACATCAATTGATGCCCAAGCATTTCAGCCAGGCCTGCCGCCTGGTAAAAAGAGCCCAGATTGTGCGGTGTTACATAAGTTTCTTTTGTTCCCGAAACTGGCACAGTGCACTGCAGGCGTCTTTTCAATAGGGACCAGATTAGCACTCAGCAGTATTGTATCACTCATCACTGGAGCGCTTTGTCCATGATGGTTATCCGCTCGCGCTGATTGACACAAATAGTGATGTAAACTTTCAAAACAATGACAGATTTCCTCAGTTATTGACAACTGAAAAATGTTGGCTATTCCCAGCAGCTCGGTCTTTTGTTTCGAGTACTGTCTTTTGTTACAAGGCCCTGCTCTTTTGTCCGATTTCGGGCCGCCCGGCTTTGCGTATAAACCCAAGGTACCTGAAACCAGGTTCCCCGGCAGCATATGATTAAGTTAGGTTTGGGGTTCTCTGAAGATTCCTGCAGTCAGTAAAAGTCCTGGACAATCTGCCAGTGTGGGCTCCGTCTGGCTTAATCCTCTCCTAGAAGGTAACTGACTGTTTTCTTTCTCTTATCCATGTTTCAGGGCCCACACTTGCTTCAACCGATTGGACCTCCCGCCCTACACATCCTATGCAATGTTGCTTGAGAAGCTGGTCATTGCCGTTGAAGAAACGAGTACCTTCGGAATCGACTAGAAGTGAAATTAGTGATTAGGACAACTTCTTTGGAAAAGAAGCAAACTTAAACCTCGGGTCATACATGAAGACACTTAAGATTGATTTACCAAAGTTTAAAACAAAAAACTTAATGTAAACTTGTTAGGCAGTGTTGATCCATATTTTCCAAGGTCCATCAAAGTCAGTCAATAGGTTTGGGAGGATTCTGTATGATTAAGGAAAGTAGAGCCGGCTACTTTTTACAGGAGTTGTAGCACCTCTAAATGCATTCCACGTTGGCTAGATTTCGGAGGATTAGGGAACATTTCCTCATGAAAAATTCTTACGATGTCAGGCACTGCCATCCCTAGCTTGACATGTCACTTGTGCATACTTCACACCTTTGCCATTTCTGGCCACAGTTATATGAAGGCCAAGTACATGATATCTAAGGTCTAGAGACCAGCTACAAGTTAAGCATGCTGAACCGACAATCTTAACTCTGTTTGAGAGAGAATTGTCGACCAAATGGGGTCAAGACGTCTTCACCAGTAAGCAGGAGATCGTAGGTCGGAGACCCCTCTGAGCTAGCTTGTCCCGCAAAGACTTGGAAGGCTGCATTAAGCAAAGGGGAAACCACACATTTCAGTTGACGTTGCCGCAGACATTTTCATTGGCAGGTTTGACCAAAATGCGTGGAGAGCTCCCTCTATGGACAGAAATCAGTCAAACTATTTAAACATCAAATGAAGCAAAGTCGCTGAGCAGGTGCCAGAAATTAATTGTAAAGTACAGCTCTGTTGATGCCGAACATTGTCTTTCACGCTGTCCCCAAGTCCTTTTTTTGGGTCCATTCCTTCTCCCAGATTTGGCTTCCCTCCTGTTTATTCTGTTGTCCGTAAAAGGTTTTTCATTTATTAAATAAATAATTACTTGTTGACCACCAGGTCGTGCAAATGATATAATTACTTACAGAACCAACTGTTTCATTTTTGTCTTGGTTCGATTCTCTAGCGTTGAACGGTGGCCACCCAGAGGTGTGAAAATTCAGCTTTTATGGTTTAGATGGTGACTCTGGATGTTTTGTCTTTTTTCCTGCGCCTGCTGGGTGCAAACGTATGGGGACTTCTTTTATTCCAACTGTTTGCTATCTGTTTTCAGCTTTAATTTTAAATGGCCACTCACACCCCTGTTACCCTTTCCTCTCTGTTTTGTGTTTTTTCACTTGTTCTTCAATACATTTTACTGCCTATCGTTTTAATCTGTTCCCCCACTGTAACTTGAGAGGTAATGCACATGAGAAAATCAGAAAAAAAGTTAATTGAACCTTTTCCCTCTCTGTGGAAAAAAAATTGCTGTTTTGAACAATATTTTTTCTTTTTGTGTGAGAATGCAAGAAACCTTTCTTTAGGTCAGTTCATAAGTAATAATTTTGTTTCACAGTTTGGTTATCTGTCCCCGTGCTCAGTTTCGCAAAAGCTGAAGTTCAGTGTTGAAATGTTTCACCTTGCTACAGAATCGTGCTAGCATTGATGGAAATGGCATGAAATGTAAATCTCACTTGTTTTGTATGTGTAATAATTCTTTATATGGACATTTACACTAATCAAAGTAATTTATATATTTTGGTGAGTTGTCTTTTCCAATTGTTTGAAAGATGAAGGCACCATTGTGAAAAATAACAGAATTTGTTTACATCTGTGTACCTAGCTATATTTAATTTAAAACTTTATTTCTCTGATTTTTACATTAATGTGCTTCGTGGTGTGGTTGTACATGTATAAACTAGAAAGCTATACATATATATTATACGATTCCGTGCTACGGAGTTTATGTTGTAAATTAATTTTACTTGAAAAAATGTTCACAACATTTTGTTGTACGCAAGTGGACATATTCTGCATGCAGACACCGATGGCATTAAATTTTAAGCACAAATGTAATTAATAAAATAAAGCAGGCATTTGTATCGCCTATACACATGGGTAGTTTTATGCAAATAACGTAGCATATAATTTTTGTAAATTCTGACAGAGAGCTACTGGCTCAACGCTGAGAATGCAAACTGACATGTTTGAACAACGAACTCGCGTAGAAAGACTAGAGAAAACACAGTTGTAATCTATGCAAATGTCGTTACCAGAATTCGGGGCTGTTTTGAATCATTCTTCCTTGTGGTGTATCGCTTACATACTTATTTATCAACTCCAGTTACGTAAACCCTTCCCCCTTCAGAAAAAATGTATCGCAAGTTTGATTTTCACGCCCCAAAAAGAAGTAAATAAGATGTCTACCACGTCTGTTGTAAATTTTTTAAGCTTTCACGTTAAAGAAAAATTAAACATTAACAAAATGAGAATTTACCAGTTAGTGTTGCGTATTAAAACTAGAGACCTGTGGAATTTGTTTCGTCAGAGGCAATCATTAAGGCCCTCCTCCCGCCACCACTCCCTCATCCAGGATTCACTTGGAAATGGAAATCATGACCTAGCGTTTCTTTTTTTTCTGATTGGCTAAAAGTAGTGAAGAGAAATATTTCATAGTTTGTCATTGCCACAGCATGCAACTGTGTTCTTGGATTTTTGTATTCATAGTTTGTACAGTAACCCCACTTGAACTTCATTTACTTCCAACGCAGTTTTTCCATTCTATTTTTTCTGATTGTTCTCATGCTCTTTGTACCTTTCTTTGACAAGTGTCGTTTGCTAGGGATAGAGATTTTTGATATACATTCTCAACGAAATGGCTGATGCAGAAAGATATATGTTCAACAAATAAATTTGATATTTTTCCTGGGTCTTGATTTCTACCGATCAATGTTGAGTTGTACGATTATGTGTACATTATTTGAATTTATTCAGGTAAATATTTAAATATATATATATTTAGATATCCGATATAATTATTTTGACTTCCACGTTCGAGCCCTTCAAAAATTGTACGCTGTATGAGTTTTAATGATGCCAAAAATGTTCTTCTTTTATACTTGGCAATTTGGATTTGAAAGATCAAATGATGGCGGAAGTCGATGTGTGTTTTCTATTTAACGTGGTCGGTAGCCAAAGTTGCACAGTCACGTTCTAGTGTGCATCCGGGATTACTTTTTAAAATACGAAAGTTTGAAACAAAGTCATTAAAAATGTTACCCTTGTTCAATTGATGCCAGAGTTTCTGTGTTGAATTTTAGCAGCGCGTACAGCGCGTGTCGTCGAAGCTCGAGCCGAGCGTCGTAGCCGGGACGACCACAAGTGGACGGGGCCAGGGGCTGCTTCACAGTGCGCTGGCATGGGGATATGCGTAATGTCAGGTTTGCTTATTGATGGCATGAGTTTCTTGATGCTATCTGGATTGAAGTGGGTGACCGAGGGAGGGGGGGTATGCGCCTTATTATTTCCCCACCCGATCTTCCCTCACAGGTAGACAGACCACCACTCAGAATGGTTAATAGGGCCAACACTTCAGCCAAAGTCGGGAGTCGGGACGCTTGGACCCAAGTCTGGGCTTTTGTCCTGTCTTCAGCTTCCAACGACCTCACCAATATCACAGGCTCGCTTGTTTCATACCGATCCTGACCACGATCAGTGATCCCAGAGGGAGCTGGTTCCCGCTATGCATTACGTGGGTTCTAGTTAGAACCACCCACCCACTGGATACCAGACCCGATGATTCTCACTACGCATCAAGGGTCCGGTACCACCCGATGTCCACGTGACCAAGACTAGAGGAATAAGGCCGTTTTCCAATACTCAACTTCGGCTCCGTATGAGGCTTGAACTGCTTTTTACTACCTGACTTTGAAGCTGTAAGCCCACTTATTAGTCTAATAGTGCCACAAAATATTAAATAAGATCCAAGAGCGCAAAAATTACTGTAATCAAATTTGATTTAAACGCTTCAGGCCCAATATCGGGGATTGGTTTCGGGGATTGGTACACTGAGATCTTTAAATTAACGCGAACATAACAACTAGAATTCTCCATTCTAAAACCACTGGTGCAAAACATCGTGATTCGGGGCAAGCGTTTGCTTAGTTACATAAGAGACGCCTTGCAACAATACACCGTTCTCAAAGGATAAGAACGGAACCAGTCCATTCCAGAGATGGTGGTCGCTATGCAAAAGCTTGCTCCCGCAAATCATGAGGTGTAGCAACAGTGTCTTTAGTATGGGGAATTAAAATTGTTACGTTTCTTTGCAATCAGATAACACAGTGTACCAAATTTTATTCAAATTTAACTCATAAGTGGCTTCCTCCAGTTTTCCGGAAATAGCCGAAATATTTCGAAGTCGTCCCGTCTGTATGTGGTATGTTCGGATGGTACCGTTAATGTTCGGTTATTTCCGGCCGGTACGTACATTATGATGCACGCAGGCAAGCTGTTGAACGTTAACTCCCGTATCCTAATGGCACCTGTTGGTCCTACAGTATTTGACATTACATTGAAATGGAAGGTCTCTCTTAGAAATCTCCCTAGAAGAGAATCTAGGACGAATTAGGACAATGGCAAGTGCCTACACAAACAGGGTGCATTACGGAAATCGAAAACACCTGGGCTCTTAACTTGACCCTTGCTATATATTCATTTATATCAGTGGGCGATGCCTGACCTACAGAGTAAGATTTTTTTTATCAAGAGTAGAATCTTTGGGCGGGGAACCACTGGCAGACTAGGTTCTAGTGCCAGTGAACCAACATAAAGATCACTGATCACAAACACCCAAAATTCCTCCGATATCCTCTACCAACCTTTGCTGGTTTCCCTTTGCTGCTTTTTTTTATTTGCCTTGATTTTTTTTTCAGTCGGAAAAAGGAACAAGATGTAAAACAGAAACTTCAGATCTCCGAATAAGCGTCGTTCAGTCTGCTTGTAGCCAGCTGCGGTATTACTGTTTATCCACTGTCTGCTGCAGTGTAATCGATCAGTTTCGGTATATTTTGGTCCACAGGACTTTCACATGCTAAGGTTTATCGTGTAGACCGTTGCTCTTGAACCTGCTTAATTCCCGTTAGCGTTAGCTTTTCCCGCTATTTAAAGAGGCGATTAAATCGCTGCCCAAAAGAACACATATTTGCAAAGTAAGCATTGCACAATTAGTTGTGAAATATAATTATGCGCTTGTAGTTCCTCATTTTTCACTTTATCACCCTGTTGGCCGACGCCGCGTTCAGGAACCTGTGTTATTTTATGCACCTGTAACCAGGTCGGGTTGTCACTCTGCTCTTTTTCAAATAGTTTGACACGTTGACAGTTCAACCCCCCTAAATTGCTTTGTAAATAGATAAATTTAAGAGGCAACGAGATACCCTGTTTCACCTGTCTTTATTAAAGTGGAGCCACGCGGTAACACACCGATGCATCGTCTGTTCGGTGACTCGTAAACACACAAGCCCGCTGATTGGTCGAACCAAATAACTATTTCAGGGATATTTTCTAAATAACCCTTAAACCCATAAGAATTTGGTTTCACCTTCAAGGTGTTCACCTCGAATCGTCGCAATTTCAAAGAAAAATAACTTTATGCGTACATAGTTAAATGTACCCTGCAAATAAATTGATTAAAAAATTTACACGTGCAGTGCATGAACAACGAAACACAAAATCTGCTTGCAAGCCCACTAAGAAAAACCACTTAGTTGGTCCCTTTGACCACCGTTCGGTTTATGAGGTCTCGATTTCCTGTACTGTTTGATCTTTCCTACAGATGACCGCTATGCAGACACTACCCGCTGATGCTGCGCCAGTCCAGTGAGAAAGCAACCACACTTGCCCGGCTGGTTCCACCTGCTGCAGTCTGATCTTGTGGATCTTGGACATGCTGCCCTGCGCCCAATGTTGAGACATTTTATTTATTTTTTTTAAGTTTTCGGTTTTTGCGTTTCTGCAACTTTTGCGAAAAAATAGTTTGAAATCAGTTTCAGCGACACACCTCCTGGCAAATTACACAGGTACTAGGTCAGTGTAACGGACAGAAAAACATGTTATGTGGTGGACCTCAAGAATTACCCATATAATGCCATCTTTGTCGACAGAGCCTAATTCACCCATTTATCTTATTCCTCATCATAGGCCACCTGCTGCAGTACCGGCTTCACCTGTTTCCTGCCACCCTACAATTGTCAGCCAGACGGTTCTTGCCGGACGTAGAATCCCAGCACCGTCCGTCTGTGAGCAAGATAGCATCGAGATATTGAACCGGAAAGGATTGAAACCTAGCATTTATAGTGTCATAATTTCCCCATCTTTCTTTAAGTTCTTTTTAATTTTTTTTCTTAAAGTGATATAGTCGACCTAATATGCAGGAATTTACCTGTTAAGCCCGAAGAAGCATGAAGATACAACGGTTGTGACATTTACAAATGATCATTCAAATAATGATAAACTCATGCAACCTGCAATCGATGGATCCATGTTAGCCCGTGCTTTCCTTTGCCAACTGTCAACTATCTATTGCTTAAATATCGGTAGTAATTATGTTTACGTTTATTCTTGCTCTGTGATCTTTCTAATGCAGTGGGATTATGTAGCTTCCTCAAAGGTCTATTAACGAGCGCTTTTTTAAATTTCGGTGTAGGGTATTTTCTTTAAGCTTTTGCTTTTCAGTTGTGTTTCATTTGATAACTAACCAACACCAAAACAATAAGAGACAGCGGTGATAGACCTGGTCCTCCTTGTTGGAATATTCTGACATTGGGTGCAGTGCATGTGATGGTTTAGTTCGATCAGTCACAGGGAAAAAATACGATTCCTATCAACGGAGCATCTCGGGTTGCATTAATCTATAAAAATGCGCCCATAGAAAACTGTGCACAATAGAACAGAAAGGGCGCCGCCTGGTGACTCTCAGGAAGAGGTTGGCCCATGGGTATGTAAACGCATAGACCACCAGATCCTAATTCCCATTCTCAAAAAAGTAACAAAATAGTATTCCGTGATCTGCGTGGCGCCCGACTATGGGCAAATTCACCCCTCGGTAAGGGGAATTTACGTATAGTTGAAGAATTCCAGCCCAAAAATTCCACGAAGCTGTTTTTGATTGTGAAAAAATTCCTGTATTTACTCCATCTGGCCCATGTAGATTCAAAACGATGCGCTTGCAACATATTGAAAGAAGAGATAGCAGTGTCGAAGAGTAAAAAAGGGTAATGTAAGTGCGTCATGCGCATTGCGCGCTGAACGCGCTGACATCCCGGCTTCACCCGTTAATAATAATATCAAATAACATCAAATAAGGCGCTAATACATTGAAATTAATAATAAGAATATTAATCCTTAAATGTGTACTTGAAGAGATGAGTTTAAGATCCTTCTTAAACTGCAGAGAGAAGGGGAAGATCGAATGGCTTTGCGATCTAAATCAGAGATTTTAAGTTTCCTTACTTAGAAATTAATAATTCTGGTCAATTCACCAATAAATCCAGTTGAAACTATTGTCGCAATTGGGAATTTCCACAAGCAAGGGGGGCGTAAGCGCAGGGCGTGCATGTCACGTGCTGGGGGAACCAACTGTCGGCTTGGCTTGGCTTATCGATTCCATCATTTCCTTCTTCATGTTTACTAAATTGAATTAGGAACCACTGGTGGAGTTTTTTGGGGGAGGGGTTGTATGCACACGCCCCCATAGACCTTTTTTCATAACTTAATTTGAACAACCCCACCTCCTCTTCACAAAATTCAGCCCACTTCCCACGCCCTCTCAAGCCGACCGCGTCTCTGCAACCAAACAAGTACAGCAATGAGATCTATTTTCTGCCGCACTTTTCCCTTTTAAGGGGACTTTTCCGCGAGCTGCTGTTCATTGATTTGTGGTGACTGTTTCAGTTTTGATTTAAACCAAATGTACTGCGTCTAGTCACATGTTCCGCTTTGGTTGCAAGTTGTCATTTTTAAGATAGCCAATAGACCCTTCACTAATAAATTCCAATTTATGCGTCCATGCGCGTAAATGGCATGTGGAGGCATAAAGCTTGAGCGGCCATTGAAAATGTACAACGGCACAAATTTCAACGTCATTTTCTTTCAGTTTCAACACTTTTTTCACTTTTGTCTTCGGAAAATCCTCTAAAATCATCAGCCCTTCTCAACGCCCTCTTTGGGCGCTGGGTGGCGAGCGAATTTGGAAGAAACTGAACTTCGTATCGCTGGTTCACAAACGACTACTAAATGCATGTACCACGGTCGCATCTCTACCAACAAATGAGATATATATGCAACCATCAAATTGAACACTTCCAACCAACGTGGCTCTTCTCAACCGATGAGGGGGTGCTTCTACTCGAGGCGGATAGGGTGTTGTGACTTGTCCAAATGCATTTATTGATAATGTCAAACTCGTGCATGAGTGACATGGTCGTGCAAGAAAGGCATCTCCTCGGTTTTGTGTCTGCCCCCGTTATTTTTATTACAACTACGGCAGCCGCATCCAAGGTGACCGGAAAACAACTCCCCGACTCTTTTTTGTTTAATTTTCAGTATTGATGCCCCCACAGATCAGCGGCCCCTTTAAAATTGTTCTGCTTCCACTATCTCACAAAACTTTCCATCCCCCGGGACTGATTCTTAATTATTTTTAGAAATTGGCATGTATTTTTTTTTTAATTCACCGAAGGTCTAGGAGTTTTTTACTTTAGGCCAGCTGGGTAGAAAGTTTGCATAGATTGAAAGCAAACTTCCACAACTAAGACAAGATACAGACTGTATTTTCAATTTAAGTTCAGGTATAATTTTCGTCACAATTGGTGTGCGTAGGTTTAAATACATGTACTTCAATTTACTTTTCATTTCTCGTCTTTTCCCTTTTATGGTAAATGTCAGAGAATGCATACATGTAAATGTACAGTACATACATGTACATGTATAGTATTTTTATTCCGTAAAGCTGGTTTCAAAGAGCCTACTGTGTCGATATCGAGATTAGATCACGGCCAAAAATAAGTTGACGAATAAATGCTGTACAAGAATTGGTCATTATGTACAGTTTGTATGAATTTTCACTTATTTTTTCTTCCGTTTGGTGGTGTTGTGCCGCCCCCTGCGCTGCGCAGGCCGAGTTTGGGGAATCCCTGGCTTAAATGCATCGTCTGACATCGACAGTGACTAAAACACAGGTGACGCGCTGATTGGTCAAATCGAATAACAACTTCTGTGACGGTTTCTAAACAATAAAAAGTGCTTGGTATTTTCTCTGAGGTTTTTACGTTAAACAGTCGCAAATATGAATGAAAAAGAACAGCTGCATATATTCATTATCATATTGATTGATTGAAATAAAGGTATTTTCAGAAGAAAAGTGCTGAGAGGCAGAAATGAAGAATACGAGCTCTGAGCAGTATGGGGTAGGTATTGGATAGAAACCGTTACAGGCTGCGGGTCGATCGACCTTAATGCGCATAACGATGCGTAATTCCGTCAAAACGGCAGTTCGATTTTAATTTTGGGTGATATAGGCCAACACACGTAATTAATTCTGTGGACACAAGTCTCATTTATTTCTAAATATCTTCTAAGTTTGGACATTCCTTAGTCACCTGATTGTAACCGGTCTGGACCTACACTAAAGGAAATCCGACGGAAACTGCGTTCCCTTCTATGACAACATTCTAGTCCGGCCGTTAGACTGAATACAGTGTGTTGATTGTTCATACAGCCAGTGGTTCTCTGTACATGTACATGTACATGTACATACAGCTCGCATTATTCACACATGCTGTAACCGTGCACATTCGAGGTCCAGTGCTTCAACGTCGTCGGCTGTTTCTTCGTTTCTTATTCTTAAAGCCTTCAGATATTCCTTCATAAATGAACAACCTCGGGAGGCTTTAGCTATTGGCTCTGTCTAGCGTCAACTGGCGTAAGGTTGGGAAGCGACGGCGTGAAAAGAGGGATTTTCGTGTTCATCATCGGGGAAGTTCTTTATGCCACTCCGAGAGCTCGCCATGAATAGCCGTGTTGTCACACGGGATGTCACGGCACGATTTCGGGAAGGGGATTTCCATGCGTCGTATACGGTCCAGAATGAACTCGGAAGGTGAGTTTTCAAACTTCTTGGTTTTCTACATACAGACATACTCGATACTGAATGCTCCTATCACAACTGAGCATTATTTTCCTACGTAATCATGATAACTGAGCATTGGTTTCCTTCTCTCATGTCTGTTTGCTTGTTTAAAATGCCATTGGCATGATTGATTTTGATTGATGCCGATACATGTATTTCACAATTTCTTGCGGCCAGAGGGTTGTTCCATTCGTGCCATTGTAGACATGGAGAAGTATGATGCTATTTTTTATAGTATTTGATTTATTGCATTCACGTCTAAGCAAAGGAGCAACTTTCCCTTCACACTGCGGAGGGATTTGCATGTTTTCCTCCTTTTTTGCTGGAGCATAATAAAAATAACAAACCTTTTTGGTACAGTGTGGGAGATATTCATAGCGGATTAATATTGAAATTTCAGGCACATTAATGTCGGGAGTTTAGTCAATAATTAAGATTTTCCCCGTTGGCAGCCTGACAGCAATACTATTTTGCCAGTTTGAGTTTCAAGTGTAAAATATGGAATAGCCATCAATTAACCAATCAGAGAGAAGAATCAAGACTCAGTGACGTCATCCCATCTGCGAGAATGACTTAAAATATTGGCTTTCAAAAATTCATGACTTGTCAGGAATAGCACGGGCTCAACCAAAATGTGTCTCAGTTGAATAAGAGTTGTAAGTTCTAACAATAAAAATTGTTCAGTCAGGCCTATAGGCCTGTATTAATTTCATTTAATTGTACACATGTTGCTGTTTTAGTTTTATGGCATAGGCTATTCTTATGTATCTAACTTAAGTGTGCAACTTCAAGCTATCCATGCTAATTTGTAATCGCTTTTTAGCATTATAAAATGTGCACACCTGACCTTAAACATACATTGTATGTTGCATGTATAATGCAAGACATGGGGTAGGCTACAGAATGTGCCAAACTGTGATTTGTAATATCGTGGAGGTAGTATCCTATCCCTTTCTCAAGGTAATTTCTCTGGTCTGGGATGGGCACGGTATTTAACTTCAACTTTTAAAGCATTCCAAGTTCAACCACAATAGCTGGTTGTGGCTTGATTTTAACCAACTAACCGCCCGTTTATTCAAGGTATTTTCTGTGGAGACCATTGTTTTGTTTGACAGGAATGTTAGCCTCGGGCTGTGGAGAGTATTGATTATCCATTTAAAAGTCTACGTCAGCAAGGTCGAAAAAGTGAAAATTTATTGACAGATTTCTGGGATGGTACACACGTGCGTGTACATCTACATCATATCAGGGACTGTGCATGTAGTGCCTCTGAATTTGACCTGCAAAACTCAGTGACACATGACATGGTGATCGGATGCTTAACACTGCTGATGAGAATTGAGAATTTTTTGTTTTCATCTCGTCTCCTACAAGTACATGTAGTTGCATGCTTGGAGAAGGCTTCAACGTAACAATAAATCTGAGCTCAGTGTTTAAGACTAGAGCCAACTTGACAGTCTCTCACATGCAAGCAGCGTCAAGGTCTTGAAACAGATTAGAAATGGACGCCCTTGTTGGCATGCAGCAAAATGAGTACTGAGCAAACTTCACCTCCATACTGCAGAGAGTTCATAGAAGTTACATGTGGATTTTCATCCTGTTATTTCCTTTCATTTGTTTTTTCAAATGTTTTCAGAAGGCCTCCTTTTTTTCATGCAATTTTCCAAAAGTTTGTGTTATCAAATTACACATGACATCAGACAACCGGGTATATTTTCTGTCAGTGACACAGGAACACAGCCATCTGTTCATGAGTCCAAAGTTTTAATTCTTGACGCAAGTCTATTGCTACTGGTACACATATGAAATAGTCTGTGAATTTGGTCATATAAGGCTTTTCAAAGGGATCCGGTTTAGTACATGTACATTTTTTTTTTAAATGAAATTCAGAGTTCATGTCTTTCCCAAGGTGCTTTGCAATCCGAGGCCAGAGTTGAATGTTTTCATACCAAACTTCCACCCCACCCCAATTTGTTTTCTTGACTTTTGTTCCAACATTGAATCGGTGACCTGCTTTTCTGGGCTGCCAGATTTGTCATGCAAAGATTGGGGAGTCCTTGTTTTGGAAGTTCTCCCATCCTGTTTCACAGTGAAAGGGTCACAGAATGTTTGTGTTAAACTACTTTTATCTGCATGAAAAATGGTAATCATTGATGTTGATCCAGTAGTAATACACAACATGTACATGTAGGGGAACATGTGCAGGTGTGACAGTCATCTTGTACATTTCTATTGATAACATTCTGAACTACATGTATTGTAACAGACCGCTCACAGAAATAGAATGGAAAGTGAAAAAATCCTAGGGTTTTCATTGATGACAGTGGAATTACGTACGTCTAGTAGGCGTAATTGATTCACTGCTAAATTTATTGGTTTCTAGTCTAACCATGTCTAAGTGATGTGGCATGGTTTGTCTAGAGTCTCAAGGAATGCCCCTTTACAAACCACCACACCTCACCTGAGACAAAGAGCCAAACCGAAGTCATCCGTGGGCAGTTTCCAACACAGTTTCAAGTTGCACCACATATGGGTTGTCCCATGCAAGGGTACCCCATTTTATTCACATGTTCATTTAGGAGTTGTTTACCCCCCTCCAAAGCTGCTGTGCGCACGCATGATTTCACCCGCCCCTGTTCAGCCCCAACAGTGGTGCTCACTGGTAATTGTGTCCTGCAGCCACCTTTACAATAAAGGTGTTTAGCATCATTCGCATGGCTTCATGTGCCAAACTGGCTGACTGGCGTAGGCCCGGATCAACAACCTGTGAACTGCCATGGAGAACTGTCAACCCTGAGTCACTGCCCCTTGCTGTGCTTCCTTATACCCCTCGAATGACGCAAGCAAACTGCAGTACCCTAACGTTCGTCCCTACTTTCGTAAACAGGCTAATATGGGAAAAATTGCCCCTATTCATATACATGTACATCAGCACTTTGGTCATACTACATGTAGTATGCATGCCCTACATTGTACATGTACCTGTTAACTTAAATTTGGTCATTAATTAATTCGTTTTCTACCCTAGTACAACTACATGTAGTACATGCAGAGCTCTTTTGCTGACGGTTTTGAGTTTTTTAATTTCTTTACAGCACATCTGTTTTTTTTTTTTTTTATTCCACTCACACATTTGCTGCATAGTTTTATCTCGTACCAGAACCAACTTGGCACAGGTGGCTTGTGCGTAAAGTACTTGCCTCTCACCACTGTGGTCCTGGGTTCGATTCCCAGCCCTACCATATGTGAGTAGAGTTGTACGTTATTTTTCTCCTACATGTATGCCACGAGGGTTTTTCTCTGGGTTCTGCGCCTGCATTTTTCCTCCCTCCGCGATAAACCAACATTTACATAGTTGTGTTCCATGGTCAATTTGAGTTGTCTGCTGGCTGACTACAGTAACTTTGCATGCATACATGTGGCTCGTCCATGTTGTAGCTGTGTTCTTCGCAATTCAGTGTAGGGGTGGGAAGTAAGGATGATCAGCCCTGCCCCAATAAACAATCTTTATGCCGGCAAGACGTTTAAATGCATATTTGTGTGTACTTGTTAGTGTACAGTACGATATGTTCATCCAAATAATATGTACCAGTACCAGTACATGCACAGACTACAGTATGTCTGTGTTTTCTGATGAAAAAAAGTATGTAGGCCCCTAGGGTGCTGGTACGCGTATATTCAAATGCCAAGTTTTTAAAAATGAAGGTTGACAGGCAGTTTTTAACTGTAACAGACTTTGTACCCATAGATTACTTATTAACCCTAACTCCCTAGGGTGTGTGCAAAATCATATTAAATTCGGAGGATTTAGGACTGTTAGGGTTAATAAGAACTGAACACATTGAAGGTGCCCAGATGAGGAGGGCAACATGAAGTGTACATGTACATGTACATTTTTCCCATGAAACAAACTTTCAAGGAGTAAAGGTATTCTGACTTCTTAACACACTTGTCTTCATCATATTTGTAATAAAATTGGTTGATGCACACATTGTACAGTGTATGATTGTACATGTACACACACCCATACTAGTTTAATTGGGAGAGTTGCAGTGCTAGTTGGCCCCACCATTCCAATGTACCTGCATCCGAACTCAGACCAGTCTGGCGCCCAGTAAGTCTGTTTTAAGTAAACAACTCAAGGTTTCAGTTAGGAAAAGAGCAAAAAAAAGAAAGCCCTTCTCCAGATGACACCCAGAGAAACCTTCAGAATAAAATTGAAGCAAAGCTTGGGGGGTTGGGGGAGAATACAGCTTACTGGTACATTTACCTAGTGCAACCTCACTCAAAAGGCCTGTTTATTTTCACAGTCTGCAGCACCTTTCCAGCCAAGGATATTCCCAGTTTTTAATGGCCCAATAAAAGTGGTTTTCACCTGGCAGCGAAACCTTTATTATGCGCTTGCATAATTTTTTTTCCATACAGACTTGCCACCCCCAGCGTGGTGCCAGACACATGCGAGGCCATGTGACTCTCAGCATGTGATAAGTACCAGTAACAATGTGCACAGCGCGTGTTATCTCACAGAAGCCCATCTTAAAGAAACAACTGTAAAAACTATTGTAGATAAAGATGTCTTCACAGAAATTAGCTGTGGATAAAATGCATTTTGCACCGTCACTTGTGATGCGCGATGGGTTGACAAGTAACAGGGTATTGTCATTGTAGGGCTTCATTCCCACACTGCCATGACTTCCGTGTCATGTGATTGAAACTTAACGAGCTTGTCTAGCTCGCATGAGAGACAGTTTGCTTGGGACAGACTGCTACAGGGTAAATACCGGTGTCCATTGTCCAGAAATTGAAATGTGGATGTGTCCACCGGGTAAATACTGGTGTCCCCTGTCCAGAAATTGAAATTCTTAAGAAATGTTCTCCAAATTTGCAACACGGCACATGTACGCTCCAAGACCTCCCGTTTAAAAAATTGATCACAGTTACATGTACATACATGTACATGTAGAAATGTT